CATGTGGAAATTAATGTTGAAATTGCGAAGTAGACGTTTTCCAATTTTGCTTTCTATAAAAGCAAAGCTTGTCCTTTTTCGCGTGAAATCCGTTAAATAAACAAGTCCCTTTCATCATCTTTACAAGTTGCGACTATCTCTGATTTGTACATCTAATATGAAATTTTTTTCATTTTTAATAATCCATGATTCTCGTCGAGCGTAAATAAAGATTCTATATATTCAAATTGAATTTTTATGTCAACCAAATTCGGCACTATGTTATTTTAAAATTTAATATATGCTAATCTCAATGATCAATAACTCAGTATTATTGCAACTTGCAATAATAGTGAGTCATTTCGATAGAAATGAGCACTTTACAGATAAATGTATACAGTATTTGTGTTTTAAAAAATTAGCTGTTGATCCCTCAAGTATGATAAAAATAATATTTTTATCTAGTAAATAAGATAAATAGTTATTTATTTCTTAATTGATCATTTATTAATACATTTATCTTAAGTGAGATAAATAAAAAAATAATAAAATATGTACGCGCGAATTTAGAAAACTGCCACGCCCTTTATCAGCAAATAATGTCACTGTATGGGCGTCACGCAATTGCGTATCGATCCTCAACGGTAGAACCTCGACCTTGGTCCTTGAAATGTCCCGGTCTATCGACCCTTTCTGAAACATCCTGTACAACTACCGCCAAGGGCACGGCTGCGATATTTATCGTGTTCGTCTGACCGTTAGGAACGGAAATGTAGATATATTTATAGAGAGTCTTTTGCTTGCAGTCGTTTCGCTTGATTTTTATCGGCCATTCCTAAATTTGAAATCGGCATGACTAACTTCCGTATGTTGATATAACGCGTCTAGAAAGATAAAATCTCTCTTTTATAAATTACAGAGAATAATATTACTTCGTAATGTAACTTAATAATTCAGTATAGAAGGTAAAACTGTATTAACGATTTTAATTAGAGCAGCTTTTTAGATTATAATATCCACATTATACTTATCTATTTTATATTCTAATTGCTATTAATATTGTATTATATTTATCTTTGTCCTATCTTATTACTAAATGCCATCATTATATATAAAAATATATATACCTATGGATAATATTACTATACTGACTATACTAATATGTATAACTATATATAAGGTAAATATAATACAATATTAACAGCAATTAAATTTCAATTGTAAAACGTGAAATACCATATTTATTTAATTACAAAGTTATGCGATTTGAACAGAAAAATCTAATGATATACTTATCTTCTTTTTATCTAAATATATATATTTTTTCTTTTTATCTATATATACACTCTATAAATACCTTGAAAAATAAAACAGCAATAAAAAGCTATCTTTCTTTAGATAAAAAGAAGATAAGTATATCATTAGATTTTTTTCTTCAAATTGCATAGCTTTGTAATTAAATAAATATGATATATCACGTTTTACAATTGAAATTTAATTATTTGATAGAGGAAAGTCGCTGATACTGAAATAGATTTCTAAAGAGCCTCTTTATTTCTTGGAAACTAACTATTGTACTTTATTAATACTGATAAAGACATAGAGAGAGTTTGCATATATAATTAAAGAAGTAAAAACTCATAATTCATATATTTGTGACTTGTTTTTGTACAAAATCAATTAAAAGAAATTCTACGAGAAATGCGAAAATAAAATTCTTACGATTTTTTTTGCAAATTGCATAGTTTAAATAATAGTAGCTCCTACTATATATTAATATTACATTATTTTATATATTTGTAGTTTCCTAAATCAGTTTTATTTATGTATTTTTTATTTTTTTTAGTAATATATTTTTGAAATAAGAGTGCATATATATAAAATAGGAGTGCAACGTAAATCGGCATATCTGTCTGTAAGATAAAATAATTTAATCTTCACAGTCTTGTATTATAATAATCCTATTAGAGCTGAAGGCAATCATATATTTGTAGAAAAACTTTCAAAAAAAGGAACTGTCGCGTTACATATTTGCGTCTTGCAGAACAGCATAAAGTATGCATATAAATCAACAAAATACGTTTTATATTGAAGTGAAAAGATTCTAAAAAATCTTACATTCATTCACTTATATTTTATAAGTGACTTCTATGAAAGAAAAAAAAACAGAAATATATAATTTACTACCTACTGTGTTAATTTTGGAGCCCATTTTATCAGACGCTCATTTTCTCTTAGCTTATAACGAAGTTTATTATTATTAACTTTAGCAAAATTAGAAACGGTATTATAAAAACTGCTATATTATCTGATAATAGACACTTTCTAGTTTGTATTTTGTTCCTGAAGTTTTATTTTTAGCTTTTGTTTAAAAAATATTGTCTAAAAACAAAGTAGTCATTGTCCGTGACTTTTCTTCAAATAATACTTTTAAAAAATGTAAGTAAAACTTGAAGAATAAAAGCACAGATTTTTTGCCGACTTCTAGCGCATTAACGAACATCAAAGAATACATCATTTCAGAGATGAGAATCCTTGCCTACTGCCTGCCATGCTTTCACCGATACAATTTTGTCTCGCGAAAGGGAGAACTAGAGAAAAAGGAACATACATCTCTAAATCTATATATGAATTATGACATGTTATACGTTGTTGGAATGGATTCTACAAAGGAGGACCACCTATATCTATATGTCGATGACGCGACTGTTCGCCGCAAAATTTTGCCACTTTGCACAAAGAGACAATGTCGAGAGAGAATTCAATATTGCGTGGGAGTTGCTCATGGGGTTGGCAAGGGGTTCTAACCCCGTCTTCGTCCGACAGGCCGACGCCCTTGCGCCATGGACATCGACCGTATTCTACCAGACTTAGAAATGACCAAACTTTTTTCATTAGATAAAAAATATTTATTTTTCAACAAATTGTAGTAATACTGCAAGTATTTAATTAAAAAAAAATTTTTTTTTAAATATTTTTAGTATTGAAAATTTTTTCAATACAATTTCTTCACTAATAATCGAAAGGAAAGTCGACTTTACAATAATAAATTCCCGAAAATAAATAAAAATAACATATATATATATTATCTACTCTTACATAATAATTATTTTATTTATTTAATAATGTCCAACATTTCGATTGTGTCGATATTTTTTATTAAAATATCGATTTGCAGCATTGAGCGTCGAATAAAAAAAATAAAGAGTCAAATATTTTGCCATGAGATGAAGGTGTTGTAAGCATCCTTATTCATGCATCCCCATTCACGCCTCGAATTTCTTCCCCATCTAAATTGCTCCGGTTTCAATACGCTTAGTTCGCACAGCGTGTAAGAATCGAGATCGATTAACGAAGTTACGCTCGTCAAGACACACCCTCGGGTTGTAACCGCGTAAATTGCTATATTTTTCGACGAATGAAGACGAATTGTCTTATGCTATAGTGAATTACGAGCGCGATTCGCAAGATTGAGTTATTCCAGTCTGCGATTCCACTAATTACGTATATATCAACAAGAAAGAAATGATAGAGAAGAAAGACAGAAAATTTAAAAATAAATAGACATAATATTATCAATTTGTATGAATGAATATATTGTTCTACTTATTATTATTATAATTATTGAATATTTTATTTTATATAAATGTAGAAGTAATTATTACTTGAATTGATATTTTTGAATGTAATTCACGAAATAATAAATTTATAAATAAAAATTTATGTGAACAAATGCTCTTTATTTATTTCGCAAGAATGACGAATGACGAAAATTGCTGAACTTAATTCTCGATGTCGTCAGAGGAAATCGCGTATCTTTCGCACGCGATGATTGCCAATTTCCGTTGATCGTTCGACGAATTCGATGGAATCTAATTTTCTCCTTCCAAGCTCGGATATATTTGGAAAATTTCCGTAAATTAATCTCCCCGATATACTACCATAGAGAAAAAGAACAAAGATGCGTAGAACAAATTGTATAGTATTATACAAGTATAATACTAAATGTCTTCACAAAACATTGTCTGTTGTATCGTTTCAATTAGTCTGTTGACATCGTATATTAAGATCAAGGCTTTTGTATTTTAAGACTATTAGAAGACCTTTAACTATTATGACCGTCATTTAAATGTCAAGTACATGCAGGAGTGTCGTAATAACCGCGCCCTTCAATCTACATTGATGATAAAAATATATATGCCTAAGAAAAAATATTTAAAATTAAGGAAAGATTAAATTTAATATTTTATGTCAAATTTTAATAAACAAGAATTTTATATATAGAAGGAGTAACAATTATTATATAGTTACCAAATAATCTAGGCAAAATATCAATTTCGTAACATCTTATATGACTACGTGCGTAATTAAAACACGCTTGCGACATTTTTATACGTGCTGTCTGGATTAAAAGAACAATAGCTGTTTCGGAACTATTCGACATGTGAACTGGCTACGTCTTTCGCGAACGGTTCCGTAAGTCTCGAGGACGGCTGTTATTGATCAGAAAGAAGGTTTGAAGCCAGGAATAGCTGAGTTACCCTTGTCTTTTTCCTGGGTTTCGAGCCTGCGTTTCGCGCACGTGGCCGTCGCGCCCCATTCATAACAACCCCCAGCAACACCCTAAGATCACCCTAGTCGAGGTATACAGCTGTTGCCATGGGAGACATATCGGTACCTTATTAAGACAGTTCGATAATACCTATACTCCTCAACGTTTTATCGGCCGATCGTACAATATAGGGACCGTTTATTGCTTGAGCGATGCTGTTACGATGCGGTGAACTGTTTTAATGAGAATGCGGAGTTTGATGTCGAACGACAGCTCTTAATTGCAAATCAGTTTTCAGTAGCGTGAGATCTGCTTTTTTCTCATTTATGTATTTATAATGCATTCTAATTTCCTGTTGAAATTACGCGACGCCTGTTGATGTTACATTCGTTTTAATAGCGGAAGTTGCGACGATCATGTCTTTATCGTCTAGCACATCATAAAGATGAGTATCTGCTTTCTGTTACAGACCTTTCGAAGAATCGTTTCAGTGAGTTACCGGAGGAAGTCACAGAATTTTCATTCCTCGAAAAGCTGCATCTTTATCATAATGCCATAAGAATAATCCCGGAAACCGTCGTAATGCTCCAATCCTTGAACTACCTCGATCTTAGGTTGGTACATAAAACACACACACACACACACACACATTACATATTGAACTACGCGATACAGTATCGCAGGCATCCTATATGATATGACGTTGATAACGTTAAGCTCCTGCTAGACTGCGCGCAGCATAGTATAATTAAAAATTTAAAACACTTTGAAAGTTATTGGAAGAATAATTGATTAACTACGTATAATTGTATAACTAATTATTGAGAGAGTGTACTATAATTATTCATTAAATAATTCTTTCGATTTAAAAAAATTTCAATGAAAGAGACACATTTCGAATAATTTTTGATAAGTTATATCTATTATAAAAAATTAATTCCATTTCTGAAATATTCTACAAATTGTTCATAATTGTTAAAATAATTTATTAAAATTAAGCAATTGATGTTTCTATAATTGATTATCCGTTTGAAAAAAGTTTCAACTTGCGAATATAATTTTAACGAGAATTTATTTAAAAAAGATATTATAATTCACAGTCGAAACCAATTGACGTCGCTACCTCGAGAGATATGCAGGCTACCCCTTCAGACATTGCTAGTCGCACACAACAGATTAGCATCTTTGCCAGATGAGTTGGGCAGGATGACAGTATTGGCAGAACTGGACGCAGGTTGTAACGAAATCACGAGTCTTCCACCTCGAATGGGCGACCTTGCGCAACTCCGGTCTCTAGACTTGAGGAGCAACTTGCTGGTGCACCTGCCTATAGGTAGGACCACCTTTTTGACGCGATCGCGATGTATGTGCAACAGATATTTATGACGCTCGAATAAATTCACTGCTTTAATCGCGATTAAGAAATAATTGAATCCATCTGTGTATATTGAATCAATCTGTTCAATAAGTATTTGCGAAATAGATCTTGCCAAAAATCTACTGGGAATTTCAAAGTTACTCTAAGTAAATTAATTTTAACAAAGCCAACGCTCGCGAAAGAGAGAAAGTCAATTTTTATAAATTAATTCTAAATGAATCTTTTTATTTATTCGTTAAGCAAAATAAAAAAAAGTTAATTAAAAAAAAAATGAAAAGAGATTTGAAAGAAATTATTAAAGATATTAGTTATGATTGGTCTGTCAAAGAGATTAATATCTCAGGATTGATGATCAAGTGCGGAAAATTAAGTTTTTTAATTATATTTTTATATAGAACTGACGTACCTGAGACTCGTGAAGCTGGATATTAGCGGTAATCGAATATCTGTGCTTCCAAACGAGATGAGGAAGATGAAGAGCTTGGTGGATTTCAAATTGTCCGACAATCCGCTCACCTCGCCGCCTGCCTCGGTGAGCATTAACGATCATGATTCGTCCGTGTTTTTCGCTCAAATCTCCTTTCCGCAATACATATTCCTACGCTCTTTCCTCAACGGATTCTTTCTAAAACTATATGCGATGTTACTTCAATTGAACTGCCGTTTCACAATCATAGACTGCCTACGGAACTGCTTGCAAAACCGATGCCTTTCGCTTCGTACTTCATTCGAGACTTTATTTAAATTCATGAATCAGTATCTCACCGTTTGAAAACGTTTAATATCATTCTGTACATTGCCGGAAGGCAACAAGATACAAAGGAAACGCGAGACGTCTTTCTTTCGAGAATACCAGTCTCATATGCTAAAGTTCTTACTGCCGGTTTCAGCTATGCATTCGCGGGCGAACGCACATTTTCAAGTACTTGGAGAGGCAGGCAGCGAAACACGAGAGGGCCAGAGGCGGTCGAACGCGACGGACACCTCTGGATGCAAGAGGTCATGCGACGTTGGACACGAGGTCGCATCGACGACACAACGTCGACAGTGGCTACAGCACCAGCGACGGTGTCGACAAGCGTTGGTCCCAAGAGATCCACAGCGCGGTTAGTTTCACCGTCGCTCTCGTGGCCTTTTCGCTATCACTACATCTCCTGCACACACTCTACAGCTACTTCTTCGCGAAGCTATTCGGCGAGTCCGCCGCCGAATTGCCCATGGATCTCTGATCCAGTGCGGTTATATGAATAAATCAAAACACAAGCGTTTCCGCTTTTACTTTTTCGAAGGAAATTTTGAAGAATATAAATGAACATATTGTATTATATACAATTCAAATGGAATAAATGCTTTTAACTCTTTCATTAACGCAGAAAATGCTGTAAGAAATAAATAAGGATATTACAGCATTTGCTTATGCACATAGTTGAACATAGTTACTTATTTGTGTAAATAAAGAATTAGATATTAGTAGAGGTATCTATTAAAATATAACAATATATAACAGTATAATAAAATAATAGCATTGTAGAATATACTTTTGATTCATATTTTTAAAATGCTTTAGAACAAATGCTTTTGCTTATCTAGGTATTTCTTTTTTAGAAATTTAATTCTTTTATTCATATGAGTTTTTAGAATTGTGTTAGAGAAATTATTATATAATCTTGACCATAAATATAAAGTATACTCGTAAATATTTATTTTCATAACAATTTTAATACTTTGTTAGTCTTTCTCGTTAGTCTTCCTTTTATTACCATTTTTTCCAAAAAAATGCAATAAATTGAAGGTGCTTTATATCATAGTCAAGGCTGTGCACTTTTCTGTAAATTTTTATGCAATTTTTGTACATAAATTATATTGTATATAAAAAACAAATTTGTCTGAGAAATGCGAGCGACTTCGCGTTTGATTTTTAATATAAATCATTGTATAAAGTGCATGAATAAACTACTTGTGCGCAAGATGCACACAATCCACGATTTTACATGCCTCCTGTTGACCACCGTTTGCAGGTACACGATGGCGAAGTTCGCAGCTTGTGGCGGCAGGAATGTTCACCGCTCTCGATAACGCTACCGCACGAGGTAGGCGTGAACGGATCTTGTAGTGGCACGTCGACACCCAGCACGATTTCACCCGGGGAGCACACGTCCCTGGAGGATGAGTTGGGCAAGGTAGGCTAATATACATAAGATTCTCACAAAAACAAATTAGCATTATCGCTATTCTGATTATTTCAAGAAAAAAGGTATTTAAGTTATCAAGAAAATATTGAAGTACAATTTCTTAAATTTTATTAATAATAATATTGTTTTTTTATATTTTCATTTCTTCGATTGCTGTATTTGTTGATTTGTATTCATACGAATTATATAATGAAAATTAGTACATTATATACGATTATATAATGTTCGAATTTAAAACTAGAAACTGTAATATCTCAAAGTAATTAACTTTTATAGCAATTGGAGAAGTCAGGTTTCTATAAAAGATAGGAGTATAGACTGATAAAGTTCTGATAATTGATTAAGATAACGGAAAAATATATTTGTTATTATTATCAAGAGCTAATCGCACGATTTAGATTTCTGTCTAAAATAAGTGTTTGAGCAATAAACTGTAGTACAGAATTTAAAGGATGACATAGTCGCTATATTTAGCTGCCGAATAGATCTCAAGTCGAGCTACGATAATGATAATAGTCGACAAACCGTTGTTGGCTGTCGCTCAAATCTCGTTACAAAGTCTTGACCCAATAAAACATCATTTTTCAACGACGATGTTTCAAAATTATGAATGCATGCTACATCAATAGTAAATGTTCGTATATACTTAATGTATAGCGAAATCGCTTTCTCATATTTACTGTTTCTTTTATACATTGAAGATTGAGCTTCCTTTAACAAGAATTCATTTTGAAATCTATAATTAAAATCTATAATTAAAGTGATTGACAAAATATAATTTTGTGATAAAATGTAACGTTAATTAAGAGCGCTAATTGAAAACATTATTTCTTATCTAAAGATAAAGATTTTGAAGATGTTAAGATAAAAAAATAAAAAGACAAAGTTAAATTAATATTAAACTTAAAACTATTCTTGTTTAATTATTAAAATGATCTTATGAAATATCAAAAATTATAATTCACGTTCTCATGCGAAATCTCTTGCAGGCGATGGTACTGCACGATCAACTGGAAAAGAGGAGATTAGAGAGAAGCACCTCGGAGAATGGGGCAGATATTAGAAGACCAATGATCTCCGGCCTTCATCACACATCGATTACGCCACCTGGGTGAGTGAAGCCTCTCGCTAAGATGATCAATAGGTCAATTATCCAATTCGCGTGCTTTCCCTCGAAACAAACGAGCGCGTTCCCTCGATGTTTGCAATTGATATTGTGATACAAATTGTGTATATATATATATATATACATATATTTTTGCATGCGTGCATGTGCATTATCGTGGCTGGCAATCCCTTTTTACAGCCATCTGGAATCCACGCATTTGACGAGTCAGTCGCAGCAGATATCATCCGCACAGCAATCAGTACATCCGCTCCAAACTGCAACGGGTACCGCTGCAATGGTGAACGGCGACGATAAGAGGCCGTTCAATCATATACAGACGTACAGGTAACTTCGCTTTGAACCGTACCAACAAAAGCCCTTGTCCGTCCGAATTTATCTCATGTTATCACGTTTGCGTTACTCATTTACTCATTCGTATGACTATGGTAGGCGCGTCTGGTATGCTGTGACGTATTACATGCGTTGAACAACTACGATTGACCTTATCGTATCAATCCTCTTCAGAATCCAAATGACGGGCATTTGTGATTGTAATTAAATATTTAACTCTTCGGTATCACTCTCATTATGGCACACTCGAGAGGTTTCTTTCAATTTATATGTTATAACTTTTTTATTAATAAAGATATATACATTTGTTTGCTATCATTATATTTCTTAATGTCTGAATTTCTTAATGTCGTTTTAATTGAAAAAAAATTTATTACATGTTTACTTTTATGCAATATTTTTACTCAGTATCTATCTGGTAAGTATATGATAAAATGATATAGAGTGGCAACGAAGGTTTAAGAAAAAAGAATGTGTATATAAAATGTACATGCTGCATTTACATATAGATATATAAATTATGATATAATAAATATAATTAATCGTCTTTTGAGGAATATTTAGTTAATAAAAATTATTTCTAAAGTATTACAAATTAGAGGATTAATACATTGTGAGAGAGAGAGAGAGAGAGAGAGAGAAAGAGAGAGAGAGAAAGATTGTAATAATGCTTTCGGTATTTTATACATTGTCTTGCTTTACCATTCATACTCGCCAAGGATCATCAAATAACATTCGTGAAAGTTTCATATCATGTTCTTACGCAATCTACGACAGTGTTCGCTTTGATATAAACTATTTTATTCTTAGGGAGTACAAAGAAGCTCTGAAGCAGCAGAGGGCTAACGAAGGTCTAAGCGTATATAGACCTCGCGAGCAAGTGACGCCTCCAGGTAACGAGACGCAAAACGAAACCGACATGGGCAACAATAAAGAAACCATTGCTCTAACTGGCAAGCAAATTTTCAACGAAGATAACGCATTAAAGAGGCCAGTGCAGAAAGTTACCCCGTCGCGAATAAACTACCAAAGCACACCAATTATCAACGGTAGTAATAACGATTACAACAATAAGAACGGAAAATATCTTGAGCAACCTTATAAAAAACCTAGCTCGCCTATTAAAACTTCGAGTAGTATTCTCTCCACGAATACGAGTCCAGCGCATGCGCCCAGACTGGTGAAAACCGCTGTTGGTTACGTTGAAGGTAATCAATTAAATTAAACAAAATCAAAAAGAAAATTGTAAATTTGTTTGTAGATAGATACACTTGCAGTTGATGTATAAGAGCAATTTTACATTTTACAAAAAATTCTCTTATACATTTTATGCAATGTAAGAGAGAACTTTGATTACACAATATGCTTATAGTATGCGTATGTTTATTAGGCAACAACAGTCCCAGTAGAAACGGCGGCAGTCCGAAATCCCCGCGATCCGTCACATGGAATAGTAATGTGCCTGAAAAGTATTCCTTTACTATGAGGAGAGAGTTTGAACGTGCCAAAGAAGAGGCTGATCTTATCGAACAACTACGAAATGTAAGCATCATAACGAATAACAACTGTAATTACTTGTGAAAAGCAACTTTGTAATATAATCAAGAATATATTTATAATAGCACATAGAGACGAGATTGAAGATGGCACTGCCAGAGGACCTCGCACCAGCGTTAACAGATGGTGTTGTTCTTTGTCATCTGGCGAACCACGTTAGACCGCGATCAGTTGCTAGTATACATGTTCCTTCTCCCGCTGTAGTGAGTATTTTTTCGCCATTTTGTGATATATTCCATGTATCAATAGACTGATTTAATTTTTTTTTTTGTAGCCTAAGCTGACAATGGCACGATGCAGGCGTAACGTTGACAACTTCCTCGAGGCGTGTCGGAAGATTGGCGTTGATGAGGTAAGAAACATTCTTCTTGTTAAATAGTTTCAAAGAAATTTGTGCTTCTCTTTCGCTCAGAGTATACTACACATGCATGAGACGCGCTGTCATCATTAGTGTACAACATCATATTAATAGGGTGGATACTTCCATACCGAATAAATTAATCCGATGTGTTTCTAATTTTTCTTTAACAAATGGTGATGTGGCAAGAGAATCATGATAGTAATTGATCGACCGTGCGTGCTTCGTTGAAGAATAGAATGTAAAACTGGTTACGAGACTCAGTGCGAAAACTTAACTCTTTACGAAGCACAGTTACCAGATATTCTCATCGAGCGTTATCCTTAAACCAGATCTATCGAATATACTTGGTGAACAGTCGGGCGGAAAAATTTATCGCACATTATTCGTAATCGAATGTGTACATCGTGACTAACGCTTCGGCAATCTAGCCGTCACTTCTCGATGACACTTTCAACGACTACTAGTCAGTCCCCGAATTCGAACTGATTTTGAGCGAATTGTAAACTGAAAACATACGGTATAGTTATAAAAATATAAGTGCAGGAAAGAAGAAAAATGAATTAGCGAAGAAGCTTTAGTTGCATGTGCCTATAGATTTCAGTTCGCTTTTGTGTTGCTTCTTCGGGGAATAGTCTGTACTTCGGGTTCTCACCTTTCCTGCCATCATCCGAATATCTTACCGATTAATATCCATGGACTAACTATCCTAAACTATACAAACAATCCAAATAATTCTTCATTAATCATTATATAAAATATTACTATGTTACTGTTGCTTTTTCCTATCCATTCTTCCTTCCTTGATTGTTTTCTAGATGGAACTTTTGATCATTAAGGAACGAATAAATTGATTACAATCAATTTTAACAAGCATTATTACAAAGTAAAACTTCATTAAAGAAAATCAGAATCAAATAAATCAACTCTATCAAAAGTTCTTTTGCGAAGACAAATGATTTCCTTTTATCACATAGTGATAGGTCGGAGTGTAACAGAACGGCTATCCCCCGAGGAACGCTTCTTTTCTCATTGGTACAAAAGTAGGGCCTTCCTCGGAGAGGACAGAGATATGCGTTTTAAGGCCACGTGAGAAATGTTCTCGCAGTGCGGTAAAATAGAAACTGGGACTGAGTAGTATCGTTGTTGGTGTTGCAGGAGGTGTTATTGGACGCGGACGCAATCATGGACGTGGGTTACATGGACGCGTACGGGCTGGAGGCTTTGGCGCGTCTCGTCACTGCTCTTCTCCTTGTTCGCGATGAGGGAGAGAGTGGCACCGAAGAGCCGGCCGCAGATTCACTCCGTACGATTCAAGACCACGTTCTATCCGCGATGCTTTTTGCCACATTCCTATCTGCCCTAGTTCTGCTCTATCTATTCCCAATCCCCGATTAGTGAGACAATATTGCGAAAAAGAAGGATCTACGAATTAAAAAAGGAGAAAGAGTGCCAGGATGGAAACTACGGTGTCTTGAGACGGCAATTCTCAGAGTCTCCTTTTTTTAAATTTTGTTTTTGATACAAAATCTGGGAATAACCGTCTCGTTCGAACAACGATACACACGACACTTTCAATGTTCGTTTCACACTTTATCTTTAGGGCTACATATTATTTTCATGAACTTTATTCATACTTGTATTCATTAAATTCAAAAAAGTGTCGTGTCGAATTTGACTTTGATGTCGAAAATTCTCAATGGTGTTCATCAAATTAAATGAAGAAAAAATGTGCATTAATATTCGATAGATGCGGCACGTTTCTTTTCTAAGAAGACAGTTTAAATGTTTACGTAACATGAACAGAACACTATAGGGTCGTCATTGACATCAAAGTATTCTGTAATTTTTTAAAGTGTCTTTCGAAGAGGATACAGATTAAAAAACGGTTCGCTATCGCCGCATCTAGACGCTTTAAAGAATATCAGAACATATCTTTTGTCGCATATGAAATTGTTGCCAGGGGCAAAGTATTTAGTTTTCAAGAACCTATTCATCACAATAGTAGCTTTAACAAGATTGTTCGCTTTTTTTGACCTATGCTTACGTAACTTTCCTCGCTCGAGCATGTAAGCGAGGAATTTTGCAGTCAGCGAAGAATTTTCGGAGGTAGTTTTTAAGTGTTGATAGGCAGCTCGCTGGAATGTTTAATCGGCTAAATATTATGTGCCTTTTTTGTTTCAAAAAATCTTCATTCTTTATCGACAATTGCAAGCGGGAATATCAGCGAAAGTTTACGTAATAAAGTCCCCTGCAAAACACGAAGTTTTATTGTATTCTATATGCTCGTTAGTTTTTTCCGAGCTTATTAGGAAGCTTATTAACATAAAATCAAAGAGCGCAATCAAAGTGGAAGGCGCTCGCATATCACGTTTAGTTGTGAATGTACCTTACAGAATGAACCAGCTATATGATCGCCGCTTGTAATCGTACGAGTCGGCTGTCGTCGGCTAGACCGATGAAATGATATTTTGATAAAAAAAAAATGAAAGGTTAATGGAAATCAAAAGTTGATGCGCAATACTCGTTCCAGAATTGTATAAGTCGTATATCCCGTTTGACTTTCCGAATTCTCGGAAAGTATTCATTGCCTTGTATACGATGAAAACCTCAAAGAATCCCAATTAATTGGTATTGCGACATCATCTTTTTCATCTGGGTCTGCGATTGTCCCTCAGGAAGAGAAGAAAGAGTGAAGGGAAGGATAGCTACGATGCCTTTGACGGCAATATTTTTTTAAGATTCGACCAATAAACTGCCTGCGGCTTTTTTAAGATTGGTGGGTCTGTGATAGGTAGCCTGCGAGCGTTACAGGATTCACGAAAAGGTGCTAAGGGAATCTCTTTCAGTTCTAGAATTTTCTATTTTGGTAATGTAAGGTATAACAAAGGAGGGTTTAAAGATGGTGGTGAAGTTTACATTCATCCGTAAATTATTGCTTCCCTTCGCATATAATTTCATAAGTAATTCGATTGTCTTCTTTGTCAATTTGTCCAGCACAAGAAACAACGTTTTCGTTTCGGGATGAAAGAAACAAGACAGAGCAGTCTTTGATACTTTATCAACCAAACTGTTTGGTTGTAGTTTAAAAAAGTTACTTATTTTAGATTAATGTTACTTTGATCTCGGCATTAATTTTACTCGAGTTCCAATGCTTTTGGAAGATAAGGAATGTGAATTTTGGAATTTGAAAGAAAATACGAATATGAAAAATATATTTTACACCGAGATTTCAAAATCACGGTTAAACGTAAGACTCAATCTATACTAATCTATACGTATCTATACTAATTATAGTAGTTATTCGATCTGATTCTATTGTAATTGTAATATCAAAATTTAACTGATTGACTGAAATTAAACTGACAAAAACTGTATGGATACTTCAACTTTTCAACAAAAAGTACGTCGACTTAAACTTTGAGATAGTTATTTCCTATAGTATCTAATTAGCCATAGCTGTAAAAATAGTACGAAAAAGCAACCAATCGAGATCAAAGTGACAGCGATATACGATGGTAGAGACACGGTGCCTGCTATCTGCTAATTTATTTTCATAAAAACTTGATAGAAACGTAGAGGGCATAATATCATCTATAATATGTGTAAGCGTATAACTTATACTTTAATATTAAGAAAACATCCTTCAGATTTGTAAGACGGGATCTCTGTCGGAAAAAAAAAACAGATACCTACAATTACATCACATCTAGTTTATTGATAGACAGTGGGCTTTTTTAAATAATAATTTTGATACTAATCACCACAGTACTTAAGATAGTGCCAAACTTCTCAACATGTTCCATTGAATGCGGCATTACTTCATTTTTCCGACAAGATCCATGGTCGTTGAAAAGATCTTGATGTGAAATAACACTAATCTTATGAATTACCGGAACGCTTAAGTTGAGTGTTCTGGAAATTTTTGATAACTGCGGAAAGAAGGATTTTGCAAAAGATTAAAAAATTAATTAAATACAGATCTGAAAATTTTGTTGAATTATGGAAATTGTTATGTATAAAACTCAAACATAGACAAAAAATTTTGACATATTAACAACAAACTGAAGCATTCTATATAATTATTTCAATAATGTAATAAATATTTTCGGATCTGTATTTAGTTAAATTTTTAGATATTTTAGCAGAATCATTCTTTTTGTGTGAAAGATCTTTCAGAGAAGGACTGGAAGATTTTTCATAAAACAAAGAAATGTAGGATTCTTTTTGTAACATATTTCATAAGTGGACCTTATAATGACCACTAATATTTCAACAGACTATCATACAAGCATAATATTTACACGTGTATCGTTGCGAGTCGACACGTGCATTATTCTATGCAGCATGCCAGTGTAGTTTTTTAAGGGGTTGCAAGGGTGAGCCGTATCTTCCATGATTTCTTACGACTACTCGGATTCAGTTCGCGATCTTGCCGGGAGATGCATGCTTAAGCGGCATTGCATTTTCGCGTTTGTAATCAAGTAGGTTTTGCACTTTCTAGTCTACAACAATAGTATCGTTAGTTATAAGTCAAACTATCTCCGTTCTAGTCAGATTATTTTCTCCCCTTGCATTTCTTTTCTTTTCTGCGACAGCAATTTGTTGTGGTTTCTACGTATTTCATTTGCAACTGATGATTTCGTAGCTACTACTCATTACTTAACCGCAATAATCAGTTTAGTCAATTTAAAGGAATGTTGTATTTACTGGAACGCCCGGCGTTCATTTTCTACCTTCCTTAATTTATATCTTATTAACATCATTTCTTGCGTATAATTTATTTGTATAGAATATTGTCATATATAATTAATCTTTCGAACGATTCCTTTTTTAACCTTATTCGCTTTAATATTACTTCGCTACATTTATTTATTGAACACTAATAATTATCGAGAGAGGAATTTGCGTTTCTTTTTCTGTGAAACAAATTTTCTGTGAAAAATTAACACACAATCCATGTTACTCTAATAATATATAAAAATAACGATACGCAGTCAAATGATTAACGATAGTATCTATAGTAATGCCTCTTTAAAAAAAAAAAGACGAGAATGTCAGAAGCTTTCAACTGCAATTGTCGACCGTAAGTTAAATTGCACCGTCAGTGGACAAATTATTATCTCCGGGCGTTCCGAATCTTAAACGCATAATTAGGCGGTCCGCTAATAACTTCCGCGCTTACATCCAACGAGCGAATCGTCCATTATGGAATAATGAATGAACGGCCGGACGATGACAAGTCATCATTCGGATATTCCATTACGTTTAATCATCGATCATTACGACGGATGCCTAATGATCCTTTGCGGGGACGCGAATACGAATGGTCGCCACGTCACGTCAGTATTATTCTCATTAGAATTGGACGAGATGTCGAGGTATTGGGATAGTATTCTCAACAATTTAAGACTGGATTCGAATTTAGCACATACCATTTTATATCATTAGTTGCTTAGCACAACGGTCCACGATTGATGTATGTAATTGCTTTAGAGAGATATGCTAAATCTTATCTTTGCAAATGGACCGGCACAATGATTTTGTAATGCTATTAATAGCTATTATAGAAATTATTAAGAGTGGCCAGTTAAAAATCGATCGTTAGATTAAAATCAACATTTTATATGTATACAGTAAAATTTCTATATTGAATTTCAATTGGATCCAGTCGTACTAGTCGAGGATCAGTTTCGTAGATCGTAACAGTGAAATTCTATCAACAGCTTTCGCTTTTGCAAGAGGCTATATCGCTATTAAGCATATTCACGAAACAAAAAAGAAAGAGAAATACTTAAGAAGGGAGAAAAATACGAAATCATTCCGTTTGCGTTTAGCTTATGTGTATAATTTTTGTAAAGAAGAGAGAAAGCTTATATATGCAGAAATATATATATATAGAGATAGATATATTATATGAAAACAGATATATAGTTCGTTGAAACTAATTCTTTTACGTCGTTTCTGACCTTTTTTTCCATTTTTTTTTTAATGTTAACGTATGTAAGTCAATTAAATTATTCGCTAGCTCGATAAATCCACTTGGTGCTTGGTGTATTTTCGTCCATTGTTGTTTCCGTAAGCTTTTAAAGTTTCTCTTGTCTATTTATATACATATCTATATTTATTCCGTTTATTCTCTTTAAACGTTTCGTATTTGCACGATCGATCATACCTGCTCACTGAGCTGAAGACAATAATTCCTTTCTGAATAGATATGTGGCCTAAGCGGGGTCAGAAACGAGTCTAGCATGATCGACTTATTTCAATTCAATCTTTGCATATTAGGCGACAACTGATCTCGAAAAACGCACAACATATTTATATTGTTTCAAATTTAATTTCCATTACATCTATTAGAAATTATTTATTAGCATTTAATTAAAGAGAAAAAATATTTTTTAATCAAAATATTAGTAGATATTTGTAAAATATTAGTAAATATTTGAAAATTGTTCTGAAGTGAATTATCAAATCTTGTTTAAATACGTCCATTAATTTTTCGCTTTGACTTCTAAGTTCCTAAATTTGTTTCTTTCAAGAAATTTGGAAATAATTTTCAATCGAAAACATACATCTATATATAAAATATAAATATATATTGTTAATTTAAAGAATTTAAATTAACTACTATTAGTAATTATTATTTAATATCCTATTACTTTCAAATTAATCTATAAATTTTTGATTGTAAGTTTACTTTTGTTGCATTATACAATAAATACGTGTATAACAGTAAACGACAATCCAATGACTCTAGAATGAATTAAATTTTTAAATAAAATATTGTACTTAACGTACTCAGAAAATACGTACGTTTATTAATCGAATACTGCCTAGATATAATTTTAACGAGTACAATTATTTGACCCGAAGCAACGCCGTCAACAATTACGATCGAACCACCGATGTATCTGCAGGTAGACCGATATATTGCAGATATCATGTCTCGCAGTGTGTTTTGTTTTTCTGTCTTTCATATTTAATTTATTTATAAATTACTTATATACGACACTCGTCCGCCATCCCTAACGTTTTGTTATTAGAGAGAATGATCCTAGTGGCGAAATGTATAATGCGAAGAGACAATCATCGCATATTTTCTTTGATTTCCGTCGAATCGATCGACCAAAAATCTCTTAACTTGTTTCGCCACTTGGATACCATTGACCTTGTTTTTCTCCTTTGAAGTATTCTCTGTAACATTGATTGTATGGATAAAAAACATAATGATTGTAATACTATAGCCATTTATAATAAAACATCCTTTTCTTAAACTACTACGTTCATTCAATAATAGAACATAATTAATCGGAAAAATTGTGAACTCGATATCATCTTTTTCACTTTATTGCATGTTGCAAACATTTTTATAACAATTTTTGCAAAATAATCCTTATTTTAAAATTTAACGCACTTTAAACTATTATTATTTTTACCGATTTTTTAAATATTTTCAAAAAGCTTTTGTACATCTCGTTAGAGAGAAAGTTTCCTTACCTGAGTTTGAACTTGCATTTTTTTTAGATGTATTCTGTTATCTAAATTCACTTTTATCTCTCTCGATTCATACATTTATATATTCGCTTATTATTCAAACATTTTCTTGTAAGTAAAAAATCAAGTTTCATCATCTGATTTCTGATATCGTCTAAACACTTGATAAGAGCATTTTCGAAATTTATATTGATCATGGATAAGAGATTCGTAGTATTTTATTCTATATTTTTATTTGTAATACATATATTTAATCGAAATAAAGAGAAATACCCTAGGAGATATTTCTCATCTAGAATATTTCAATATAAGTACAGTTGTCTATAAAGGCAATAAAGTTACTTAAAAATGAAAATGTATAATTTAAAGCTTTTTTCATATACACTACCGTCAGAAAGTTTAGGACCA